AGGCACCCAGGATACTGAGAGCTTTGCAGGTAGCTAGGGCCAAAGATACCTGAGTCATCCATCCCTAAATAAATTCCCTATCTTCACCAAGGCAAAGGGGTGCAACTATTGCTCCCAAGTTCCAGACATAGCCCTCAGACTGCCCCTTTGGTGTGTCGTCTCTCTATTCTTCTTTATCTGATTGAGGGTGGGCTGGATAAAAATGGGGTGTTGGGGAAGGGGTCCAGCACATGGTGGTTTGTTCTCCCAATGGAATACTTTTATGGGAATTATCAGATTGTTTCTCATCTGGAAAAGGTTAAGAATCACAGGTATTTAAAAATGTTAGCTAAGACACAAAAATTGTGAGAGAAGAGGGAGAAAACTTGTATCAACCATGGGCCAGGCTCTGTGATAATTTTTTTTCACATTTATTTTATATAATTATGACAACTTTTAATATTTAGTGAGTGCCAGAGGCTAGATTTGAACTCACATCCAATGATCTACCAATGTGAAAGCAAAAAACCTTTGGTGATGTGGGTGAAAGTGCTGGTTCAGTTTGATGGAAACAGCTCTGGGGAAATCTTTATAGATTAGTATATATCATTCTTTGCAGCTTCAAAGAATCTCAACTAGGACAAAGAGTGACTGTTGTTCAGGAACAGAGCATATTTCTCATTACTGGGTATAGAAATACATGAGGTCTTGCATTTTTACTTGCAAAAAATAAAAAAAGGAAAGTTAAAAATTAATCCTGGCCTTAGTGGAGGTTACATGGGTATTTTCAATTTTTGGTAACTCTTTGAGCTATATATTTATGATTTTTGTATTTTTCTATATATGTGTTATACTTCAATTTTCCAACCATTTATTTTTAAAAAGACCAAAAAAAGTTATTGTAGGGAAGGTAGGGGATGTTCCAAGTCTCTGTAAGCTAAGCAATTTACACAGCCGCATCCTGATTCTTTCTTTTTTATCTGTGAAAAATAAAGATAATGGAATACGTTGCACCTTCTTCCAAGAGATAAGCTTCTGTATTTTTGCTTGGTCAGTACATGGTTGAGCTTCTAATTTAGGACTTTTTGCCTCACACCTCCATGATAAGAAATTAAAGAAAATGTTTCTTTCGTTCCCATATTTAAAAAAAAATTTCCTGTGACACCACAGAGTCTGCCAGTAACTCTCTCACAAGTCTACCTTTATTTGCGTAATCTTAGAATGATTTACAGAAAACAAATACCTTGCCTTCCCTCAAGTTTGGCTGGGACAAGTGAATCCATAAATGTTTTGGGACAGTAAGAAAGGATATTGAAACATTTGTAGATTCTTTTATGACAATTAGCATTGACAAAGAAATTATTTTATTTCTTTTCATAGAAGAGAATAATATTCTTATATGGATATAATATTCATGCAGAATTTAAGCCCTCATTTGTTTGGCTATCTCAAAAACAAGGTATAATTGGTGAGATGGGAAATGGTGAAGGCATATATGTATGATCATGCTCATTACAGCAAAAATGTATTAAAAGATGTCCCCAATACCAACAGTAGACCTCATAAAGCACTCAAATCATTGAGTTTAATATGAAATAAATGTTTAACTTCTTTTAAAAATTTTAATTTGTTGAAATTATGGAGGTGAGAAAGAGCTTAAGTAGTAGTGCAGTCACAGTCCCTAAATTCACCTTTGGAAGTATAGACTTACCCCTAAGTAAGCTGAATTATTTTTCTGTATTACTATGGTCTGTAGTCTAATTTTATTAGCTTATTTCAATTATATTCTTTTTTTCAACATGTTGTTTTCAAAAATTTCAAATCTAGAGGAAAGTTAAAAAATAGCAAAATGAACACTCAATACCTCTGACCTAGAGCCACCAACTATTGCCATATTTACACACACTTCCTCCCTCTCATATACATATCTTTGTGTGCATGTGTTTGCTGAGCCAGTTGAAATTAACTTGCTGATATCACCTCTAAGTACTTTAGCCTGTATCTCCTTGAAACAAAATCATCAGCCTACATAACAATAGAATCATTGCCTTCAAGAAATTTATCATTGATAAATAATACCATCTAATATATAGTTCATAATCAAGTTTCCCCAATTTGAATGGTCATAATTGTTATAATAATTTCCTTAATCACTATTATTGACACAGGATCCAATAAAAGTTTACACAATGCATTTAGAAGTCGTATATCTTTTATTTAGAACATTCTTCCCCTGATCCTTTTTTTTCCTTTTGTCTTTCATGACATGGACCTATCTTGAAGAGTCCAAGCCTGTTGTCTTGCAGCATGGCCTATAATCTAGATTTATCTTACGGTTTTCTCATGGTAGTTCAACATGTTTATGGAAGAAACCCCTACTTATCCATATACAGTTGATTTTCCATATATATTCCCTTATTTTCCCATTTCTAAGACTTTGCTCTCACAGAATGTTTCTTTCACGTATGCCCTCACGTGTCTCTACAAGGCCTGGTTCAATACTTAACCTTCTCCAGGAAGATTTCTCTGACGCCTTTCATTCTGAAGGAGTCTATGAATATCCAGAATACATTAGCCTTTCTTTTCTTGCAGCATGTGTAATTTTTTTGGCTTTGTATTTATTTTTATTAGGTCACATGTCTTTTATCTTCTCCCCAGTGAAAGCCAACTAAAGGCAAGCCTAGTTTATCTTTGTGACCTCCCTGGCATCTAGCACAGACTAGGCAATCAATATGTTTATTTCCTGAATGGTTAGATGAATAAATCAATGAACAAATGAAAATGGTATCTTTGGCCTCTGAGACATAGTGAGTTGGTTAAGAACTTAATTCTTTAAAAAGGGTTACAGAATTTCTTCATACGTGTGCTTTCTGCATCTAAAATAGTCTACTTATTTTGTATAAAAACTCTAAATAAATTTTTAGTTTTAATAATATCACATTGTATAGCTCTTTTAAAAATCATGTTGGTAAGCATTGAGGGAAGTCTTTCAATCTGGCAAGTTCATTCTTTAGCTTTGGAAAGTGGTCCTGTATTATTTCTTTATAATTTCCTCTTGTGCATATTTTTTTTCTCTCTAGAATAAGTCCTACAAATCAGACTTCTGAGTTAAGACTTCTGAATTCATCCACTATATTTCTTATCTTTTCTTCCATATTTTCTATCTTCAACTTTCTGAAAGACTCCTTCAACATGTCTTCCAGCCTACAGGTATTACTGTTCTTTAAAATTTTTTGAAATTTGTGTTTTTTATTTTTAGGAGTTTTATTTTTATTCTCTGAGTGGTCTGTTTAATACCATCCATTTTTTGTCTTATGGATGTAATGTCTTCTCAAGTCTGTACAAAAATAGTAATTAGAATTTAATGAAAATGTTCTTCCATTCCCTTCATTAGCTCTGTTTAAGCTTTCTTAAAAGTTCTTATTTTTATCTTGATCTCTCTCTTATTCATATTGAAGGCATGCTATGCATTAAGTATAGAAACTTCTGTGCACTGCAAAGCTGATTGGGAATTCTATGTATGTGAGCAAGTTTGCCAACTGCCAGGTTGGCTATAGGTTAATTACATGTTGACTTAGGCATTATGGTCAGAAACTCCCAACTGTCAAAAATGGAGGTCTTTTTTCTGAGATCTTTCAATTTCTTTAATAAAAAACTCTTCAGTATTTTGCCTGGGAATAAATATCTAGTTGGTGAAGACAGCCAGCAGAGGTGTGTGTGTGTGTGTGTGTGTGTGTGTGTGTGAGAGAGAGAGAGAAAGAGACAGAGTGTGTGTGTGTGTGTGTGTGTTCTGTTTATTTTGGCCTCTTGTTAACCTTCTTCTGTTTTCAGTCCTTTATTTCATCCCTTCTCTCTGCCATACCTGTCACCTCGTCTATCTCCTGTGCATCAGCACTCCAAGGCTTGGCTTTATCCTGCTATATCAGTTACCACTCATTTTTCCATCTAGTTTCCATTTTCCAGAATTTTGTTAAAATCTCTCACCCTCTGATGAATTATCTTGTTGTTTTGTTATAGATTTACATGGTATTTTTTGTTTGTTTGTTTGTTTGTTTATTTTGAGACGGAGTCTCAGTGTCACCAGGTTGGAGTATAGTGGTGCGATCTGGGCTCACTGCAACCTCCAACTCCCTGGTTCAAGCGATTCTCCTGTCTCAGCCTCCTGAGTAGCTGGGATTATAGGCATGGGCCACCACGCCCAGCTAATTTTTTTGTATTTTTAGTAGAGACGGAGTTTCACCATGTTGGTCTTGATCTCCTGGCCTCGTGATCCACCCACCTCGGCCTCCCAAAGTGCTGGGATTACAGGCATGAGCCACCATGCCCAGCCTATATGTTCTTTTAATGCCTTTACCATTATTCTGTGGTGTCGTGGGAAGAAGAGGAAATAAATACATGTATTTATTTGCCATCTTTAATTGGACTGCTTAATGTAAAAGTGTTTGTGTTATAAATTCCCCCTCATATATTTGGTTTTGTGACTGCAGTCATGTAAATTCTCTGCCTAGAAGTTTAAAGAAAGTGATTCTGTATGTGATTAGTGAGTAAGGTTCAGATAACCTTGGGTGGTTTAAGGTTTCCTAGTGAGTAATCTGGACAAGGGAGATTTAAGATACTGCAGACAGAGTGTGAGAATAACTCTCTCTTCATGACTTAAGAAGCCTGGTTCCTTATTTACAATTGGGATAAGATAAATGATTGAATACCTAGAGAAGTTCTACAAAAAGTTACACAAAAAGTTTAGTTAAATTTAAGTTAAAAGTTAGTTAAAATGAAAAGTTAAGTTTTTGTTCTGCTGCTAAACCATGCTCCTCTGCATGTTGAACCTTCAGTTTCCTCTAGATTTCTAGCACCTGAAAGAAAACAAAACTGCAGCCAGGTAGGCCTCTCCTAATCTTACTCATTTACGGAGAATTTCCCCTTTGAGTCACCATGGCATTGGCTGGTTACTCACACCACAGATACCTCAGGATTGGCTGGGACTGCAAATAAAATACTGTTTGCCCGTAATCAAGTTGATAAGCTACAACATAAACACATCTAGGTTCTTGTTCTTAGAATACAGCATGAAGCATTTGCTTTCTTCTTTCTTCCTAACATTTTCATGCGAGATCCAGAAAGGACACATTGTCTCTGGCCATTCGAAGAAACAAAGAAAGAAAGTAAGAAAAGGTATTTAAAGAGAGAGAAAGAGAGCGCGAGAGAAAGAGAAAAGCTAAAATGGGTTTGCTGGGTTCTAAAAATCCCCAAACCAAACAAGCCCAAATTCTTCTTTTGGGACTTGACTCAGCTGGGAAGTCTACTCTCCTTTATAAATTAAAGCTGGCTAAGGATATTATCACCATCCCTACAATAGGTTTCAATGTGGAGATGATCGAGTTGGAAAGGAGTCTTTCGCTCACAGTCTGGGATGTTGGAGGACAGGAAAAAATGAGAACTGTTTGGGGCTGTTACTGTGAGAACACTGATGGGTTGGTGTATGTTGTGGACAGCACAGACAAACAGCGACTGGAAGAGTCTCGGAGACAGTTTGAGCACATTTTGAAGAATGAACACATTAAAAATGTGCCTGTTGTTCTATTAGCCAACAAACAAGACATGCCTGGAGCTCTGACTGCTGAGGACATCACCAGAATGTTCAAAGTGAAGAAGCTTTGCAGTGACCGGAACTGGTATGTGCAACCCTGCTGTGCCCTCACAGGGGACGGGCTGGCCCAGGGGTTCAGGAAATTAACTGGATTTGTGAAGAGCCACATGAAATCAAGAGGAGACACTTTGGCATTCTTCAAGCAGAATTGAGACTGAAAAATCCAAGTCTCAACAGAGACACTGATGAAGTTGAAAGGGTAATTGTTTTTCTATGCCAAATGAAGAAATCAAATTATTGAGATGACAAACTTTTCCTGAGATGTTATTTCATTTACATTTAGTTAAACAACTTAGAATGATATCTAGAAAATATTTATTTTTCAGCCAGAAACTTTAGCAAACTGTGGCAATGCTCACTGGGAATGAAAATGTATAATGTTCTACAAATTTTTATCACATTGGATGACTTTGAATATAGTAGTCACATTTGGGACCAAATAAATTACTACATTATTAATTGTATATGACTACTAGAACAAAGTTTTAGTAAGCTGTCTGCTAATAGAGTCAGAATTCTTCCAGATTGTTTCCAGCTGTAACAGGTATTGAATTTCCACCATGCTCCTATGTAATAGCTGGGTGGTGTAAAAAACGAACTTCAAATTGTGGAGTGGAAAAGGGGTAATGTTAACATCTTGTAAATTCATGTTCCCTAAATAAAGCTTTCTTATTTCCTAAATAAAGCTTTTCTTCTGGATTCCTGCCAGCTTTTTTGAAGTCTATTGCTGGGAACTTCCTCCAGTGAATCTTAAACAATGAACTTCAGGCTGCTAATTACTCAGAGGCTGTGTTCTGCCATAGGAGCAGAGTGTATTTACTTAAAGGTCTGGTGATCGGGGTAGCACCTTGGAGTTTAGGGGCTCAGGGCTCAGCTCTAGGCTACAGCCCCGAGTCTCGCTTCCTTGGAATTCAGTTTAACAGCCATTGCTTGGAAACATATGTGCAGCTCATTGTACTGATCAAACAGGAACCAGACCTAGACTTTGCTCTCAGAGACCCACAATTTACAGCAGGAAACAACATAAAGCTAGCAGCTAGAGTAGGGCAATAAATGCTATGTGCGATTGCGGGAGATACTCTTTTTAACCAGGGAAACAAGAAATGCTTACTGCAGGAGATGGTATTTTAGAGGGTCCCTCACTCCCACTGACCCTACAAAGGTACAGGTTAGTCACTGGAAGTTCCCATCTCTAGGAAACTTTCCAGAGGCATTGGGCGGGAGGGCAGGTGAGTGGGCAAAGGAGCTGGAGATTGGAATGGAAGTCCCCTGAGAAGCTCAGAACTCCCAGGGAGGCCCTGGTACAGACAGACAACACTTTCCTCCTACCCCACTTCCAACAAGGCTCATTTGGGGCTGGAAGCAGAGCTCAATCATCCATAGCAGACCCTAGGACTCCAAATCTTAAGGTCACAGAGGGAAAAAAAAGGGGGTAAAATAAACCAAGGATGGCAGCCCTTGGATTCCTCTTAACGATTTTCTTCTCTCGTCTTAGCTATTTGTTCAGCAAAGATCCGAGCACTACCTTCTGTGCTACGTGGTAGAGATTCAAATAATAAACTAGACACACAGGTAATAATAGTTACTGTGGGATGAGTACTTGTGGGTGCCAGGCACTGTGTGCTAAGCACTTTCATACATCTTCCCATTTAATGTTCACAACTGCCCAAAGAGAAACAGGCATAATCTAAATTTTAAAGATGAGTGTACTGAGTCTAAACGCGATTACACAACAACCACCACAAAAAAACTACTTGATATTTAACTGAGGAGTAGCAACAGAGCCAAGATTCAAATTCAGGTGTGTCTCACTCCAGGGTCTGTGCTGTTAGGTGTTCTGACGTTGTTTTACTAATAAGGTATAGTCTCTGTCTTCAGTGAACTTACCACATGCAATTAAGAATAAATCAGGCCAACATACATTACTTCTATAATAAACATGTTCTTAGAAAAAATTTACTAGGCAGAATAAATTAAGTTCAATAACAGAGATATAAAAAACATGAAAGACTGGCAAAAAGTTTCCTGATTTCAGGGAGATCTCAGGGGGGTGGCAATGTTAAATGCTTCATAGTAGAACTTTTCTTTTTTGGAACATAATTAAAATCTCAAATATGTATCTTCCCTTACAATTTCTCTGTGTGTGTTTTTATGGAATCTTCTTAGTAACCTTAAATTGGAAGTCACTAACTTACTTCTACAAAAAATGCCCTCTGGTGCTCGTGTATCTTGGTAATCTGAATTAAGTCAAGCCCTTTATGGCCCAGTCTTGGCATGATGTAAAAGTTGAAGAAAACAGCCTGTTAAAATACTGAAAGGAACCCAAATCTTCACTTTAGAAAGCCCCTGGGTGTATGTGTTGGGTGTGGTGGGCAAATGCATTCTTCATGTAGAGCAAAACTTATAAAGCAGCATTTTCCTGTCATTTCAACATCTCCCCCCATATAGCAGCTATTCCTTAAAATCTCTGTTAATATTCTCCCCAAAACGTGTACCCTTCTCATGCTTTCCTCCTTTCTTCCCTGGGATCCAGGGATTCAGTCTATTTTCCTCCATCAGTCACTTGCTTTCTTTTTTTTTGAGATGAGGTCTCACTCCATCACCCAAGCTGGAGTGCAGTGGCGCGAGCTCAGCTCACTGCAACATCCACCTCCCAGGTTCAAGCGATTCTCCTGCCTCAGCCTCCCGAGTAGCTGGGACTACAGGTGTGCACCACCATGCCAGGCTAATTTTTGTATTTTTCAGTAGAGACGGAGTTTCACTATGTTGGCCTAGCCAGGCTGGTCTCGAAGCTTTCTTTTTGAGTTAATTTTATCAGTCTTTATTTGGCAATTCCCTCCTGCTCTCTGCAGTATGATCTTGTCTGCCCTCCAACACACACACATGTACATGCATGCACATACATACACCTGTGCACTCTTCACCCTGGTCTACTAATAAAGCCCGAGACTGAGGGACGGGAAAAAACTAGGTGGACAGTGGCAAAATATTTCTTGACAGACAAGAGAAAGAGGCTTGATATTTATTATTGTCATACATTTTATTTCATTTTTATTTTGTGCATTCCTTTCAGGTGTTTATCTTTATATTTTTATTTTATTTTGTGTATTCTTTAAAATGAATTTTATCATGTATATTTGAGGTTTATGTTATGATGTTTTAGGACACATATAGATACTAAAATGATTACTATAGTAAAGCAAATTAACGTACCTATCATCTCACATTGTGACTTTCTTGTATGTGACAAGAGTGACTAAAATCTACTAATTAATATTTAACAAAAATCCTAAATGCCAAGTAATTTTACTCTATCATTTATCTGTAACAAGGTAAAACTTAACTTATCAAAATAGCATGCTGCCATGGATTTAATAGCAACAAAAGCATAACACTTCTGAAATATTCCTTGCCTAAAGAGTTAAAGAATAAATCTTAAATCTTTGAGATAAAGGTAAATATCAGTTACATTTTCTGAAAAGTGAATATCAGATAAATATTTCTATCTGATTTTCTAAGCATTGTAAATGACAAAAATCTCGACAGGACATAAGAATGAATAAAACACCCACAGTGACTGGTGTGTGTGTGTGTATGTGTGTGTGTGTGTGTATATTTTAAGGCAGAGTCTCACTCTGTCTCACCCTGTCTCACCCAGGCTGGAGTGCAGTGGTGCGATCTTGGCTCACTGCAGCCTCCACCTGCTGGGTTCAAGCGATTCTCCTGTCTGCCTCCTGAGTAGCTAGGACTACAGGCATATGCCACCACACCTGGGTAATTTTGTATTTTTGGTAGAGACGGGGTTTTCACCATGTCAGCCAGGTTGGTCTCAAACTCCTGACCTCAGGTAATCTGACCTCCTCGGCCTCCCAAAGTACTGAAATTACAGGCATGAGCCGCTGTGCCCAGCCCGAACATGACTATGTTTTGATAATGAACAAACTGGGTTTTACCAAACTAAGGAAGACCAGGTATGGAAGGAGCCCTGCAGTTCTAGCTCCCGGTAGGTGGTACTGAGAGGCAGTCTTGGAGGCCGACTGAATTCCTGCAGTGTGTTGACTATGCGGAGGAATTAACCTAAAAAGAGCGACCCTCCGCTGTGTTCTGCTTTGCAAACCTCGAGTTGGCCGACTCTCGCTTGCATGAGCTCTCTCACCACAGAGATAGAGACAGAGACACAGAGGGACAGCCAGAAATAGAGAGACCTCCTTTGGCAGTGCCAATGAGTATTTTAACGTAATAACATAATTTAATAATGTCACAGGGGTTCCAGTCCACCAGATTTTTAGCACAGTGTTGAATTACTTTAAGCATAAGATACCACACTTTACCTTGAAAGTACCACACACACAAAAAAGACGGTTATTAGATGACTTAACCATTTAAGTAGTATTTTCACAAATATTATCTCATTTCGTTCTCACAAAATCTTATGAGGGAGGCATAGCAAATATCAACTCCATTTTAAGGATATAAGGAAACTAGGCAGTTACCAAAAAAAAAAAAAAAAACCCCAAAAAAACAAAACCCACACACACACATAGGCTGGGCGCAGTGGCTCACGTCTGTAATCCCAGCACTTTGGGAGGCCGAGGCGGGCGGATCACGAGGTCAAGAGATCGAGACCATCCTGGCCAACATGGTGCAACCCCATCTTTCCTAAAAATACAAAAAATTAGCCGGGCGAGGTGGCACATGCCTGTAGTCCCAGCTACTCGGGAGGCTGAGGCAGGAGAATCACTTGAACCTGGGAGGCAGAGGTTGCAGTGAGCCGAGATTGTGCCACTGAACTCCAGCCTGGGTGACAGGGAGAGACTGTCTCGAAAAAAAAAAAAAAAAGAAAAGAAAAGAAAAAGAAAGTACATGAGTAAATTAGAGGTAGGGAATGGCAGGGAGTGTAAGGCTCATTTACATAAGGATTCAGAAAACACCCCTCTACACTTTTGGTTGGAGACCTACAACATTGAAGACCTGAGGAAGGTGTATTCTAAGTTGGAGAACAGCAAGTTTAAGAGCTGTGAGGCAGTAACAAGCTGGGAGTGACAGAAGGGCATTGAGGCCGGTATGGCCGGATAGGGAGACAGGTGGGAGAAATAGAAAGTGGGCATCAGCTAGGGAAAGGAGTGAATGGAGAGGTTTAAAGCAGGTGAATGATGTAATCAGATGTTCACTGTTAGAAGACCTTCTTGGCAGAATTCTGTGTGGAGAATGCAGCCATCCAGGCGAGAATTGGTGGTGGCCTCATGGTAGTGGGATTGAGAAGTGGTCAGAAGGGAGAGGTATTTTGAAGGGTGAACTGACAGGATTTGCTGGTGGATGTAGGATCCAAGGGGGAAAGGAAGATATCTTTTAGGTTTTTGGCCCAAGAAACACTGTATCCTGTAGACCCATTTAGTTTCTAGAAACAAAGAGATTTAATGGTAAAACCTGTATGTGCCACATTATAGCTAAATTCATTGTATCATAATATTTATGTGTGTGTGTTTGTTTGAGATGGAGTCTCGGAGTCTCGCTCTGTCACCAGTGTCTCCCGCTACACACACACACACACACACACACAGTTGCAATCATCCTGACACTTTACACGTAAGTACTTTATTGTGTATCTCCTTAGAATCACCCTTCTCCTATGTAACCATATTTGGGCTTCTTTTCTCTTCCTGTTTCTCTCTCTTTCTACA